TCCAGATGTGAAGCAAAATAATATTCGCACTCAAATAGAACCAAATCCAATCAAGATGTGACGACTCACTCAGCAGCCACAGCGATATCACCGTTGCTCACAACTGCAATCGACCATGCAGACTGCGCTGGTGTCCTAATGAACTGTTTATGGGCGATTTGAGATTTGCAATCAATCGAACATATCTCAATGAAACCACTTTCACCACAATTTGCCAACATCATTTGCTCTGATGATTGCTGATTCATTAATGTCATGCTGAAACAGGAACACATAATCAATTCAACTCTCTCGCTCATGAAAACACATTTCAATGAGATTATGAGCCGAAAGCTTTTCGACCAAAATAACATTCGGAATATCAATATCAAATTTTACAACACCACTTCACCAAAGAACAAAACAAAAATCTTGCAATGATTTTCAGTCGATCACCTGAAAAACCATTGTTTTTGTTAGCCTTTGTTCAAAGGTATTTGCAATATAGATTTGTTTTTATTCAACGGTTTTTGCAAATATAAAATTAACCTGAAGATGAATTCACACGCTAATGAATTATATTTCTGCATGCATTGTGTCGAATCCAAATTCCAGACACGAACTGTGAAATCGTTTGAAGCAGAAATGAAAATATTTGTTGAGACGACCACAACACAACGAACAACATCTTCGTGTCCTACAAAAATATTTCACTGTGGAAATTATCACACCAACAGACACTCGGAATATGCAATATGTAAAAGGTTTTTTTAAATAGCATGTTCAAAACTTCCATGAACTGATGAACAGAAATGATCATTGCGCAACTTATAACACGAATAGAATTACATCAACTACGATATGCTAGTTATCAATCTAAGAAAAAAATTCTTCCGAAAAGTAAAATTCAAAAAACGAACCACTGAACGTGTTCAAAACGGTGTCGCCATTCCAGTATTTAATTGTCAGATCAGCTGATCCAGTGAGATAAAAATTTGGCTTTTCCGGTATCGATACAGCCGCCCAAACGGCCATTTTGTGCCCAACTAATGCTAACGCCTCAAAATTTTGGCGATGAATCCACAACGATACAGTGATGAATATGAATATGATAAATTATCAACTAAAACAACTTAACTACTCACATTTTCACTTATTCTCTAATAGTAATACCACGTCTACAACGTGGATAATTCTTGATTATTCGTCGATGACGGAAAATTAAAACGAGTAAAACTCTGAGCAAATAATATAAATGATACGTTGAAGTCGTTATTGCCAATTACTTCCTCGAGTGGCCACACAATAGCGGTATTATCCCAAGAACCACTCAACAAAACACCATTCTTCGAATCTATGTAAAGCGTGCAAACTGAAAATAAACGCTTGATATGTATTGATTTGGTGATTTTGTTTCGATAAAAACACGGCTCTTTTTT